GTCTGGATATATTTTTGTTTTTCATTGCTGTGAGCGTGGAGTGCTACTGTCATCTAGTGGGTGGAGGCCAGGGATGTCGTTAAATGTTCTCAATGTATAGGACAATATCTCTACTCCCAGCAAAGACTTATCTCAAATGTCAACAACACTGCAGTTGAGAACTATGCTCTATACCCTGGTGCCACCCTCGATAAGCCTTACCTTAGGGTCAGTGCCACTGAGGAGTCCTAGGGCCCTGCGTCACAGACCCTGCTGGTCTCCTCTGGCATGCACCCAGCGTCCTTTCCCTGGAGGTTGGCTGAAGCGAGGAGAGTGGGCTGTTTGGAGTCTTCCAGCCCAAAGCGCAGGGCCAGCTGCCCTCTGGCCACCTGCCTGCTTCAGAATGAGGTGATGCTACCCAATAACCCAGAACTTCACGACATGAGGTTCCAGGACTCTGCACCTGCCATCCCATTGAATCCTCCCAAGGACCCCCTCCCCCAACGAGGGGTCCATTCCCATCGTACACACAAGGTGGGGGGGTGTTCAGAGTTGGCTACTTCTGCGTGTCCAAAGCAGAGAAGAAAACAGAAGTTCAAATCCCGGCTTGACCTCCTAGTAGTTAGGTGACCGTGGGCCTTGCCTTGTCCTCTGAGCCTGTTTCCAGACCTGTGAACACAGGGAGGCAGTGACCTTGGGACCTGGAGTCCCACAGACTCAAGCTCAAGTCTTGAGCTCCCAGCGAGTTTCTCTGTCTGGACTTTGATTTCCTCTTCTGTGAGTGGGACAGTCCTAGCTTGTTCACGGGGTGTTGTTGGCTGTATTTCAGAGCCTACCAGCACAGTGCCTGGCGGACACAAGCATACAATGGCTGAAAAGGTGACAATCTTTTATTGTCTTCATTAATTACCTGAAAGCCTTCCAATCTCAAGATAAATCAGTTCTCTAAAATGGAGCCCGGAGGAACAAGAAATACGGCCCTCCACTGAGGGTCGGGCCAGGACTCCTGGGCCCTCTCTGACCCGCGCCCCAGGCCGGCCCTGTCCCTGAAGCCAAGTTGTTCTCCTCCTGCCGGCAGCATCTGGGATTGCAGTCTGGACTCCGCACCTCCGGGAGATCCTGAGTTTGCGCGGAGGGGAGGGGCTTATCCCAGCACCCAAACCCGCGCGATTGGAACAGTTATCCTGAGCTGCCGCTTATTAAACTTACTGCTTACCTGGCAAAGGTGCTCCCTTTTTCTGAGTTCATTCAATTGGCTTTTTGCCGGTAAGATACTCCAGGCTTTGGGAGTTTGAATAATTTGGCCAAGGTCCCCCCAGTTGGTAGCAGGGTCACCAGGTTTTGGTAGGCTGAAGTGTGGCCCTCTTCCATTTCCTCATCCTAATATCTGGAACCTGGGAGTATCCTGGGAGGAACCTGGGTGAAGGTAAGGATGTTGCCATGGTAGGAGGTGGTCCAGGTGGGCACGGTGTAATCACAGGACTCTCTAAGAGGGAAGCTAGCGGCTCAGTCGGCGGAAACCGTGAGAGCAGAGGCAAGAAGCTGAAGTGCTTTGCGGAAGGGCCATGAGCCAAGGACTGCTGGTGGCTTCCACACGCTGAAAAGAGCAAAGAAATGGCTCCTCCTCCGAAATCCTGAGAGACAATGCGACCTAGCCAACACCTTGCTTTCAGATTTCCGACCTGCAGAACCGTAAGAATGCATTCGTGTTGTTCCAAGCCAGTACATGTGTAGAAATTTCCTATAGCAGTCATAGAAAACTAATGCAAAGGTTTAGCAAAAACAAACACCAGGATGCCCAGTTACGTTTAAAGTTCTGATAAACAAGTTTTAAAGTGTCAGTGTGGCCCAAATGTTGCAGGAGACGGACTTAAAAAGATGATTGTTTATATGTCACTGAGGGCTTGCTGTTTCACCCGGCAACCTCGCTGGAGCTGAGAACAGGGGTCAGAACTCAGGCCTCCCGGGCCCCCACCACCCGCCCACACTCTCGCAGGTGGCAGGAACCTCCACGTTCCTGTGGCCCTGTGGGCTACTTTCCGTCTCTCTGGGCCCCGTCTTGTCTCTGCGGCAGGGAAAGGAAGGTGTCTCAGGGCTCAGAATTCTCCTGGATACCAGAACAGCTCCCCAGGGAGGGGCTTTGTCTTCCTGCCTGGGAGCGGGACCCAGGAGACCTGCGTGAGGGGCAGCCGTGCAGGTGTGTGTGCACCCGCGCGCGCAGGGGTGGCTATGGACGGGGCTGGGACGGTCTCCCAGGCTAACACTGTCCGACCAGAGCTTCCAAAGCAGAGAACGGGCCCAGGCTACAGATGAGGAGCTAGACCAGGGAGGAATGGGGCCTTGTCCAAGGTCGCGCGGCTCTTGACAGGGTGGACTCCGGTTTGGCATCTTGGCCTTCGGGGCAGCTGCCTGGGAGGCACTCCGGCCAGTCGGTCCTGAGGTCTGCGTTTGACTGATTGCCAGTCTCCCTTTCACGAAGGGGGGACACTGCGTAAACACGCAGATTTGGCGGGCTGATGGATGCAACGCGCGCGGTTCACGGTCGCACGTTCACAGGCAACGGCGGCTTCTCCCCTTCCTTCTCTGGGCCTCAGTTTCCCCTTCATAAACAGCTCGCCAAGCGCCTCCCGCTGTTTCTCTCAGCCAGCCCCGGCCCGCAGCGCGCAGTCGCGGGCGCCAGGTGGCGACAGAGGGCCGGCAGCGCAGCGAGGTGCCACACATGCGCACTCCGGGCGCCGACACGCCCCGCACGTCACTTCCGGCGCGAGGGGCCGGGCCGGCCGGGCAGGGAGTGCGGGTCTGTTCTGTGCGCGCTGCCAGCCGAGGCTCCCGCCGCCGATTGACCCGCGCTCCGTCCCGTAGCCGGGCCGGTGAGTGCCCACGAGCCCAGGCGTGTAGCGCGCGGGCCGAGGAGGGGGACCCCTGAGAATGGAGAAAAACCGGAAGTGGGGCCGAGGCACGGGAGACCCCAGGAAATGGGGACACCTGGGGAAGGGGTGACAACCGGAAGCGGGGGTGGTAGAAAGGCTGTCCGCGGGATGTGGGGGCTGCGGGGCTCCAGGGGAGGGGGCGTCCTGACCGGTCATTGCTGGGGAGCGAGGTGGGCGGCAGGTGATGCCCTACAAGATGCCGGGCCCCAGGTGGGGAAGATTCCCGGCTCCCGCATCAGATGGTGTTGGCCTCCCGTCGGTCCCACGGGGCTGGACGCGCCGAGGCCCCGCAGGGTGGAGGTGGTGAGGCCAGGGTGGGGCTGGATGCGACCTCGCGCTGCCTCACCTGGTGTGCCCCCGGCGCGTCGCGCCACCTGCACTCTGCCACTAGTATTCCCTGAACACTGCCCTGTGCCGGGCACTGGGGCCGACGGTGAGCTTGGCAGGCAGGTGCTCTGCCCTCCTGACATCTCCGTGTCAGCGAGATGGGAACAGCACTAGTGTTCTCACCCGAAATGAGAAAGCCGCGTATGCTGCCTAGCAGAGCGCTTGCTAGGCGGTAAAACAGTCCATGTTTTACCTCTCGCTTCATGGTGCCAGGCTGATGGGAGCTTCGAAAGGCCCAGAATGACATTGTTTGCTGCTGTGTCCCCAGCAGCCATGAGCCCGTGCCTGACATGTTTGGTTGGTAATCAGTACCTAGTTTGATCAGAGAATGGGCGATGACAGTGACACAGAGGCGGCTCATGCAGACACTGGTCACAGTGGACTGCCATGTCTAAAAGATAAATGGGAACCCAGAGCTGTGGGAAACTGCAGGGGACCCCCTGGAGCGGTCGGGGAAGGCTTCACAGAGCAAGCGCTGTTGCGGTTGGGTCTTGATGAGAGTGAGTTGTCTGGTTGGGGGCAAACGAGGGGAGGAAATCCGAGGCAGAGGTGACCAAGTGCATGAGGCTCTGGGGGAATTGGGTCGTTGGCTCGTTTAGGCTGGCAGGGGAGAAGTGCGGGATGAGGCCAGAGCAACCTTGGAGGTGAGGGCCGTAGCTCGTGGCCTCTCCCAGGTACACCCTGGCTTGGGATTGCAAGCATGTTTTGGTGATGCGTAGCAGCAGAGCCTATGGTTCTGTCCCTCACCCAGCAGACCTCTGCCAAGCAGTATTTATGGAATGCAGACTGTGGGTCTAAGGCCACGTTAGGTGCTGCGTTTAAGGTGATGAACATAGCAGACACAGATCCTGCCCACAGATTGCCTGCGGTCATGGCGTGGGCGAGTGCGGTGCCAGAGCGCCCCGTGGCTGACTGCGTGGAGCTCACGTCACCTCGCACCTGGATGAACTGGATTAACGAGTGCCGTAGCCTCTAGGTGCGCTCTGCTCCTGTCTTCACCCCCCCACACACTTCCATTCTCAGCACAGCACAGTGATCCTTCTAAAATAGAAATCGGATCATGTCACTTCCCAAAACCCTTCAAAGTCCAGGTTCCTCCCAGCCTGCAAAGCCCTGGCCACTGGACCCCCGGGGGCTGAATTCATCGCTCATGTTGCTCACCGTGCTCATTGGGCTGGGCCACCCTGGCCTCCTCGTGACTCCTGGGAAAGCCAGGTGTGCCCCTGCCCCCAGCTTTGCGCTCGGTCTGCCCCCAGCTGTGCAGGGCTGCTTCCTCGCTTCCAACTCTCCAGCCCCTCTCCCCAGGTACTCGCAGCCCTGTTCTCTGCACCTCGTAGTAGATGACGCTGTGTATTTTGCTTCTAGACTTGTTTCTCCCACTAGGCTCGAAGGCCTAGCCCCAGGGAGAGGCTGGGTAGATTGTAAAGGTCCGCGGTGTGTGTTGAATGCTCAGGACTGCAGGGTGGCTTGGCATGGTCAGGTGAAGAACTGGAGGAAGAGCATGCCGGTTGGGGAAGTAGGCGTGCACAGGGCAGGATGAAACACTTTGAGAAGGAAATGAAGGAAGCTGGGTGGGACTGGAGGTTGAGCACAGGAGTGGAGCAGGCAGAACCGCGGTTTGGAGGCATGGCCCTGTCACTCCGGACACGGCGGACTGGGGAGAACCTGGGGACGTGCAGTCAGGACATCACAGGTGTGTGGGAGGGAGGCCCCGAGACGGTCTCTGCTCTCCTTGTTGAACTCAGAATGTCGTGTCTCGCTTTATCAGTGATAGCCACGGGCACGTGTGTGGCTTTGGAACTCGGCTGTCGTGCTGCTGCCTGATTCTTGGGACACCTCTAGCCCCTGTTTTGTTCTCGTTTTCCTCTCCGTAAGCGTGTTAGAGCAGACACTCGGGTGAGGTTAGACACGCAGGAGCCCTACCAGCGGCAGCACCTGTAGGAGGAAAGGGAGGGGAGCAGACGTCGGAACGAGCTTTGGTCCTGGAGCCTGGGTTGCCTGCTAGGGGAGTCCACGTCTCACTCCCTCACTGGCCGGCAGTGACCTGTGCACAGCGTGCCCATCGGAAGGTGGATCCAGAGGATGCAGCTGGGGCCATTTGTCAGTTACATTTCCCCAGCAGCAGATCTGCCCACTGCGTTTCCATGGTGACCAGTGACTTGAGTACCTGGTAAAAAGTTCAAGCCATATAGTAAAGTCTTTGTCTCACCCTAAATGTCTGTCTGTCCATTCCTGTTTCCTAGAAGTGACCACTGGTAACAGCCTCGTATCTGCTTCCAGAAATGTTCTGTGCATTCACAAACAGAATGAGATCATTTTAAGACATGGGTGATTTTCTGTGCCCCCTTTTGCAGCCTGTTCTTTTTCCTCAACATATAAAGATCTGCCTAATTCCTTGTCATGACTGAAGAGCACTCTATTCACATGGTAATCTTATTTAACCAGTCTCCTGCTATGTCTAGTCTTTTATCCTTGTAATCAGTACTTGTACTGACCACATGGTACATATACAAGTATATGTACCAGAAAGGAGTTGCTGAGCCAAGGGGTAGCTAGGGTGTTTGAGAGGCAGAGAGTTCCCATCTCACTGCCCCAAATGCCCACAGTGGCCCAGGTTGGGCTGGGCTGGGCCGAAGTCAGGATCTAGGAACTCAGTCCAGGCCTACCTAGGCGGCAGGAACTCAGTCATTTGAGGCATCCTCACTGTCTCCCAGGATGTACATTAGAGGGCAGCTGGAAACAAGAGCAAGGACTCCATGTAGGCACTCCATGTGAGCATGTGAGACTCCAACCGCCCACCCTGGGTCTGTGGTTTTTTTTTTTTCTTTTTTAAAATTTTATTTGAAAGCGGGAGAGAGAGATCTTCCATCGGCTGGTTCACTCCCCAAATGGCTGCAATGGCCAGAACTGGGCCAATCCAAAGTCTGGAGCCAAGAGCTTCCGGGTCTCCCTCACAGATGCAGGGGCCCAAGCACTTGGGTGATCTTCTGCTGATTTCCCAGGCCATACGCAGATTGGAAGTGGAGCAGCCAGGATTTGATCTAGTGCCCATACGGGATGCCAGCACTGTCGGCTGTGGCTGTACCTGCGGCTTTACCCGCTAAGCCACAGAGCTGGCCCCAGTATGTGTTTTTTTTTTTTTAAAGATTTATTTATTTGCAAGTCAGAGTTACACACAGAAAGGAGAGGCATAGAGAGAGGTCTTTCATCCACTGTTTGACTCCCCAGTTAGCCACAATGGCTGGAACTGCACTGATCTGAAACCAGGTCTCCAATGTGAGTGCAGGGGCCCAAGGACTTTGGCCATCTTGCATTGCTTTCCCAGGTCATAGCAGAGAGCTGGACCGGAAGTGGCAGCTGGGACTTGAACCAGCGCCCATATGGGATGCCGCACTGCAGGTGGCAGCTTTGCTCACTACGCCACAGGGCCGGCCCTTCCAGATATGTGTTTTTTTTTTTTTAAATAAAGATTTATTTATTTGAAAGAGTTTTACAGAGGAAGGAGAGGCAGAGAGAAAGGTCTTCCATCCCCTGGTTCAATCCCCAATTGTCCTCAATGGCTGGAACTGCGCCGATCCGGAGCCGGGAGCTTCTTCTGGGTTTCCCACGTAGGTGCAGGGGTCCAAGGACTTGGGCCATCTTCTACTGCTTTCCCAGGCCATAGCAGAGCTGGATCGGAAGTGGAGCAGCCAGGTCTTGAACTGGTGCCCACATGGGATGCCAGCGCTTCAGGCCAGGATGTTAACCAGCTGCGCCACAGTGCCGGCCCCAAGGATATGTGGTTTTAACTTTTGATAGGTATTGACAAGTTGCCCTCCAAAGAAGCTGTGTGAGTTTCTCCTCCACCAGCAGCAAGCACATCAGAGTGCCTGTTACTTGCTTGTACCACAGTGAATCTTCGAGTTGTTTTAATGCACCTGTATTGAATGACGAGTCATGTTGAGCGCCTGTCACAGATTTATAAGCAAGGCCGTGGCGATAAAGTGAGGAACATGCTCATCGGCCATCACTGCCTGTGTACCTGCAAGATTTTTTTAAAAAAACTTATTTTGTTTATTTGAAAGGCAGAATGACACAGAGAAAGACAGAGACAGAGGGAGAAACCTCCTCTGTTCATTGGTTCACTCCCCAAATGGCCACAACAGCCATGTCTGGGCCATGCCAAAACCCGGAACCAGGGACTCCATCCTGGTCTCCCACATGGGTGGCGGGGGCCCAGGCACTTGCGCCATCTTCCGCTGCCTTCCCATCACATTTAGAAGGGAGCTGGATCAGAAGTGGAGAAGCCAGGACTCAAACTGGCACTCCGATATGGGATGCCGGTAGCACAAGCGGCAGCTTTACCCCATTGCTCCCCAGCCCTGCCCCTTCGAGAAGATTCTGGGGGGGTTCAGATCCAGTTCAGTCTCCTGGTTGAAAGCTACTGGCCTTTGAGGGAAGTGCTGCTGCCCTGGGGTTTAAGACAAGCAGTAGTGGGCTTTAACAGCTCCTCTGGGCCTTCTCTGTTTGCAGAGACCCTGGTAGCGAATGTCCGGAGGAAGCGACTCTCAGAGAACCAGCCCGTCCGCGGCCTCCCTCTCCGAGAATGAGCTGCCTCCCGGCTACGTGTGCTCTTTGTCCGAAGAGCTGGTCGCCAAAGCCCGGGAAGAGCTGCAGGAGAAGCCGGAGTGGAGGCTGCGGGACGTGCAGGCCCTTCGGGACATGGTGCGCAAGGAGCACCCGACCCTGAGCACCTCTCTGGACGACGCCTTCCTGCTGCGCTTCCTCCGAGCCCGCAAGTTCGATTATGACCGGGCCCTGCAGCTCCTGGTCAGCTACCACAGCTGCCGCAGAAGCTGGCCGGAAGTCTTCAGTAACCTGAGGCCGTCGGCCTTGAAGGATGTCCTGGCTTCCGGCTTCCTCACTGTGCTGCCCCACACCGACCCCCGTGGCTGCCACATCGTCTTAATCCGCCCAGGTATCTTCCCGAGCTCTTGGGGCAGGGGGGCCGTGGGGGTAGAGCTGCTCTGGGTTGTGCCTGTCCGGCACCGTGTCCACTTTTCCTGTTCCCTTTTTTTACCCTTCCTTGTTTTATCAAGGCTCTTGATTGAGGGTGACGAAACCTGCTCAAGGACTTAGTGTAAGGACCTGGACGTGCCTCCCAGAACTTGCTGGGAACATGGCAGCCCTTCCCAGGCCTTAGGACCCAGCGCCGGAGTGCCCCAGGAGCTGAGACGGCTCTTCCCCGTCTCTGCCTTGGCGTCTGCCCCTGCCACACATCTCTGCTCCTCTGCCTATCTTCTTCACGCTTTTTTTCTTTTTAAATTTTTAAAAATTTACTTTCATTTTATTTGAAAAGCAGACAAGTGGAGAGAGATACAGAGATACCTTTCATCTGCTGGTTCACTCCCCAAATGCTGGCAACAGCCAAGACTAGGCCAGGCTGCAACCAGGAGTCAGGATTCCATCTGAGTCTCTCACATGGGTGGCAGGCACCTCACTATTTGCACCGTGACCCGCTGCCGCCCAGGGTATACATTAGTGTGAGTGTGTTAGTGTGAGTGTGTTAGTGTTAGTGTTAGTGTTAGGAAGCTGAATTGGAAGTGGAGCCGGGACTTGAACCGAGGCACTGCAGTGGAGAGGTATCGATGTGGGGTCTTCGCCACTGCGCCGCATGCCTGCCCCTGGCTTTTACACCTCTGTGCAGTAGGGAGTTCTGGCACCCTCGGCCCTCAGGTTCCGCCGGCCACCCAAGGAGTTCCCTCCATGCAAATCCTGGATTTGTAGAGGAGAGCGGCTGAGGACAGGACCCAAGTCTGGGGGCCAGGACCCTCTTGCCCTCCTGTGTGAGTGGGCTGCAGGCTGGGCGCCTATGCCTTGCCTCCTCTACCCTCTCCTTTGCTGTCTTAGACCACCGAAAGGACTCACTTTAGATTCAGTTTTGGGTCCTAGCACTAGTGACCAGGACCCCTTTCTTTGGCCTGTAGCCTCTAGCTGGGAGCAGCTGCCCACCAGCTCCCCACAGGGAGCATTCAGAAATGGGACACGGGGCCCGGGGGATGGTGGAACTGAGACTGCAGACCCCTCATCCCGTGCCCTTGAGCGCACCGAGGGCAGCATCAGCCTTGGCGTGTTCCCCGCTCTGCCCACAGCCTCAGCATTTTCCATCGGATGGAGCTGAGGAAAAATCCGGAAGTAAGACGGCAGTGTTCGTCCGCGAGCCAGACACCAAGGACGTGCTGGCGGCCCTCCCCTGCTCTGCATGCAAATGGCTCAAAAGCGGGCAGACCCCTGCGGGTGCCTCTCTCGGCCTTGCAGCCACGCATCGCTGTTCCCATGAGTCACCCACCAGACCCTCTGAGGAGACGGAACCAGTCTCTCCAGCCCTGACCACATACCAGGCCCCTCCAACGACTTGACCCGCCCAGGCGCTCTCCCATGTTCAAAGGTGTTTAGTCTAAAATAAGCATTGCCATGCACGTCTCAGGAGAACCAGGGACCTAGAAGCCAGCCAGCAGGCGGCGTTTTCTGTTGTTCCTCTGAACTCCATTCATTAGAGTATTGCAAAACAGTTGCTTCCACACCGGTTGCACCACTTTGCTTGTGAGGCCACGTTTTCCCCCCAGTTGTCTGGAGCATATCTGGATTCTCCTCACTGACAAACATTTTCTTTTTTAAAGATTTTATTTATTTCATTGAGAGGTAGAGTTAAAGAAAGGAGGTCTTCCATCTGCTGGTTCACTCCCCAAATGGCCACAACAGCCAGAGCTGGGCCAGTCCAAAGCCAGGAGCTTCTTCCAGGTCTCCCATGGGGGTGCTGGGGCTCAAGTACTTGGGTCGTCTTCCACTGCTTTTCTAGGCCATAGCAGAGAGCTGGATTGGAATAGGAGCAGCTGGGACTCGAACTAGCTCCATATGGGACACTGGCACTGCAGGCTGAGGCTTAGCCTACTACGCCACAGTGCCGGCCCCACTGACACAGCTTTTAAGGAGGAGGCATCCACAGGTTTTGCTCCTACCTGGGTGTCGGCTTCGCCTGTCTGTAGGCTATTAGAGCCGTGTGGTGGGAAGGGGCGGCATCCAGCACGTTGAGGCAGATGGCGATCAGCAGCAGCAGCAAGCGGCAAACCAGGGCTGCCTGTGGACAGAGTGTTCATGGGGGTTTCGCACATATTACTCAGTCCCATCAGGGCCAAACTGGAAGTCTTGTTTTTACTAAGGCAGGGATACACAGGTCTTGGTGGGATTTTCTTGAGACTAGCAGTCAACACCCAAAAGTTGCCAGTTCCATCTTTTTCCCAAAGAGAAAACAAGGCTTCTTTAGGAAATGGGAGCCCCCCCCCCCCCCCCAAAATTTCCCATTTCCTTTTTTTTCCAAAAAAAAAAAAAAGGTTTTTTTAGAAAAGGGGGGCCCCCCCCCCCCCCCCCCCCCCCCGGAAAGGGACACTTGGTGCGAAGCCTCCAGAGCGTTAGGCTCCATCCTTGTGACACCTCCTGCGGGAGGTGCGGGAGCTGTGACTCAGCTGTGTCGCAAGCTACAGAAAGCCAGCTCAATGGACTGGAACCAAAAAGAGAGCTCGTTTGCCCACAGCGCTGGAGCTTGGGCACAGGTAGATTCAGGGGCACCAGAGAGCTGTCCCTGCCTCTGCTGTCCCCAGCCTGGGCTTCACTCTCAGGCCAGCCCTGGCATCACGGGGCCCTTGAGTCTCAAGCCAACAGCCTTGCCACTGTAAAAGAAGAGATGTTCTATTTCCAAAGGGCCAAGGTCCCGGAATTGAGCCGCCTTGGCTCTGCGTGACCTGGCTTAGAGTCACAAGAGGATGTGATGCCAAATTGGTTCAGTTCCCTGTACTCATCCCCCCACCCCGGGAGTCAGGAGTCAAGTCCATTCTAGCCAAACTTGCTGGCTAGAATGGGGAGAGGTGGCTCCCCAGGGAGAACGAGGGTGGTGTCCTAAGTAGAAGGGGGACTTCCTGATGGACGAGCGTGCAGTTGTCCCTGCAGGTAAGTGTTACCTCCCGCTCTGCTCAGAGGGAGGTGGTGCCCACAGTGAGGAAGTGACTTGGCCAAGGTCACACATCTAGAACGTTCCATCCCCCTGGTGTGTCTGGATTCACAGCTCATGCTTTGAACCTCATTCCCTGAACTGCATTTCCATTGCAGAGCGTGCTGCTGCTCCTGGAGGTCAGAACAGTAGCCACAGCTTATGGTCCCCATGTGTAACCGAAATAGGAGGAATCTCCCCTTCACTTGGAAACAGTGGTCTCAGGAGGTAAAGCTTTGATCACCGCCTTGTGCATTTCTGTGACGTGCCATCCCTCTCTCGTCACCCCAGACAGATGGATCCCCAGCAACTATCCGATTACTGAGAACATCCGCGCCATATACTTGACCTTAGAGAAGCTCATTCAGTCTGAAGAAACCCAGGTGAATGGAATTGTGATTCTTGCAGACTACAAAGGAGTGAGCTTATCAAAAGCGTCGCATTTTGGTCCTTTTATAGCCAAAAAGGTGATTGGCATCCTCCAGGTATGGCCCCTGTTTGCCGCGTGCCTCTTCTGTGGTTGGTTTGGCTTCCCCGGGCCCTGTCGGTTTACCCCAGGTCTCATGAAAATGACACAAATCCCGCCTCCCACGTGTGCAAGTAGAGTAAGACAAAGTGTTAGGGGAAGGTATCTCCATGTCCTGTTTTACAGCCATTCTCATCAGGGTCTCCAGTCATTTCCAAAAGCCAGGGAGATGCCTTCCCGGGGTTTGTTTTTTGCCTGGAAGGCAGAGGAGGAGGTCTAACAAACGGAAGTGGTGCTTCTGCCCGAGGTGCCGCCTGCCCGCCTGCCTGCAAGGCCCTGGGGACCTGAGCACTGTTGGAATGCTTCACACCTCCTGGTCTGTGTTTCAGGACCCAGGTCCCTAGGAACCAGGAAGCTTCTTACATGGCTGTGCCATTTAGGGGTTTGCAGAGCGCTTTTACAGTCACTGTACCCATTCAGTCCTTCAGAGAATCCTCTGAGAGATGCAAGGCGAGAACGTTTTCCTGTGGGATGGACGGAGAACCTGAGGCCTATAGAGAAGATGGAGCCCGGCCCCAGTGTGACAGCTGTCATAGCTTTTGATTCCCTATTTGTTCTGACCGCCCTTGTGAACGCGGGGCACCAAGGGTACGGCGGTTCTCACTGAGTTCCACAGGTGTGTCTGCACCCCTGCTGGGCACCAGGTTTACTGTTGGAATGAATCAGTGCCCGTTTGGACTTGTCCATAAACTTGAGTTCTGGCTTTCCTTAGCTCTCAGTCTTCTGATGCTGAACACCATGTAGATTCAAGTGTCGGGAGAGTTTGGGTCAGTGTTTCCTAGCCCCTTTCCTGGCAGCTTCACCATAAACATTTCCACATTAAAGGCTGTTGAAAAGGCTGTAGTTAAATCCATTGGTATATATTCATTTCTTTAAAAAAAAAAAAAAGATTTAGGCCGGCGCCGCGGCTCTCTAGGCTAATCCTCCACCTTGCGGCACCGGCACACCAGGTTCTAGTCCCGGTCGGGGCGCCGGATTCTGTCCCGGTTGCCCCTCTTCCAGGCCAGCTCTCTGCTGTGGCCAGGGAGTGCAGTAGAGGATGGCCCAGGTGCTTGGGCCCTGCACCCCATGGGAGACCAGGATAAGTACCTGGCTCCTGCCATTGGATCAGCGCGGTGCACCAGCCGCAGTGCGCTGACCGCGGCGGCCATTGGAGGGTGAACCAACAGCAAAGGAAGACCTTTCTCTCTGTCTCTCTCTCTCTCACTGTCCACTCTGCCTGTCAAAAAAAAAAAAAATTTATTCATTTGAAAGAGTTACAGAGAGAGGATTATACACAGAGAGAGAGAGAGAGATCTTCCATACACTAGTTCACTTCCCCAGATGGCTGCAATGGCCAGGGCTGGACCAGGCCGAAGCCAGGAGCCAGGAGCTTCATCCAGATACTTGGGCCATCCTCCACTGCTTTTCCGGGCCATTAGCAGGGAGCTGGAGCAGAAGTGGAGCAGCCAGGACACAAACCAGCGCCCATAGAAGATTCTGGCGTTGCAGGCAGTGGCTTTACCCATTATGCCACAATGGCAGCCCCTTCTTTATTTTTCCTTAAGTTTTTGACAGATGTTGTACGTATTTATGGAGTAACTTGACATTTTGATGTTTATATCCATTGTATCATGTCCAGTCAGGGTAAATATATCTGCTTCAAACACTTCTTTATGGTGAAAACATTTAAAATCCTACTTTCTAGGTTTTGGGTTTTTTTTTTTTTAAGATTTTATTTATTTGAGAGGTAGAGTTACAGACAGTGAGAGAGAGACAGAGAGAAAGGTCTTCCTTCTGTTGGTTCACTCCCCAAATGGCCACAACTGCCGGAGCTGCGCCAATCTGAAGCCAGGAACCAGGTGCTTCTCCTGGTCTCCCATGGGGTGCAGGGCCCAAGCACTTGGGCCATCCTCCACTGCACTCCTGGGCCACAGCAGAGAGCTGGCCTGGAAGAAGAGCAAAAGGGACTAGAACCCGGCACGCACATGGGATGCTGGCACCACAGGTGGAGGATTAACTCAGTGCACCACGGCACCGGCCCCTAGGGTTTTTTTGTTTGTTTGTTTTGTTTTGTTTTTTAATAGAAAAATGTACTGTGTTTTCTGTGGTGACTGCTGTGCAGCGGAGCCCAGAGCTGCTGTCGGTCGGTCACTGCCCGTCCATCTCCCTCGCCAGGCTCCGGCAGCCACCCTGAGACTTCTCTCCTCTCACAGGTTGCCTTTTTCAGGCTCCACCTGTGCATGAGCAGGGTGTGTCTTTTCTGTGCTTGGCTTGTTTCACCGTTTGACCGTGTCTCTCCGTCGGACGTCTCCTACCCATTTACTTGCCAGAAACCCCTTTCTGCATTGCCTGCTGACGTCCCGAGGGAGACGCCCTGGGCAACCCTGATGCGGAAGGCCTGATCATGCCAGAGCAGCCCAGAGCCCAAGATCATTTTCCACTTGCTCGCCTGCCTCTCTTCCAAGCCAGCTTTGGGGCCCAGGAGAGCCTCGTTCCCCGAGGGTGTGGGCTGTCTCCGAGGAGAACTGGACCCAACTTACAGTGGAGATCTCGGTGGGGGCGGGAGAATGGCAAGGGGAGAGTTCTCAGGTTCTCCCCAAGCTCTAACCCCTCCCTCCTTCCCCTCAGGATGGTTTCCCCATTCGGATAAAGGCGGTCCACGTAGTGAACGAACCGCGAATATTTAAAGGCATTTTTGCCATCATCAAACCATTTCTGAAGGAGAAAATAGCAAACAGAGTAAGTACTGAGCAGACTTGAGTTTCTCCCTCTGTACTGTTTTAGCCCTGAGACTGCTCATTTGGAGAGCAGAAGGTTCTAGATAAAAACACGAAAAATTCTTTTTGTGAGGAGAAGACAAAGTGAGTAAGAACGTACTGTTTGCTAGCAAAGAGAGCAGAATTGAGATGTGGGTAAGGGCGTCCCTGCTTTGTAATCACGTAGCCTTTTGTTCCTAAGAGGGTGTGGCAAAGAGGAGCAAAAGCTCATCGCTGGGCAGGAAGTTTAAGAACTATGGTAACTCCTCACGACAGCACCCGGGGGCTCCGAGGGCCGTGTGAGCCTTGGGTCCGCCTCGCTCGCCTCCGTTCAGGGTTCCCCTCGCCCAGCGCTGCTGACTGAGCTGCAGGGGTGCCCTTTCCCCTGCTTCCCAGGCCTGGGAACCTTGCGTCACTGCAAGGACTGGGCCTTGGATTTCATCCTCTTTGTCAAGAGGTAGCAGAGTGAGACCGAGATAGTCCCAAGGTTATAAGCGCTGGAATTTATAATCCAGATTCCCTGAAGATTTGGATTTATCAGCTCGGGGATGGAACCCAGGATCTGTGCTTTTAAAATCTCCCTGGGTAATTGTGATGCACAGCTAGGCTTGTGAATCACGTGGGCTCCTGTTTGTAGCTTTGACCAAAGCCGCCCCATGGACAGGCGTTTGTATCCGTGAATTGTGGCCCATGATGCTGTTCATTTGTCCCTTTGTATGTTCATCCATCCAAAAATACTTTATCAGCTAGTAGGTGCACAATGAACAAGATACCCAAACCCTGCCCCAGGGGTGCTCCCAGTGTAGAGATGGCTGATAGCCCCCAGACGGGGCGGGGGGCAGAGGAGGAGTCGGAGTAACAGGACCAGATTGTGATGGGCCTTGTGGGCCATAGGCCGGCCTCAAGCTCCTCACGTGTGAGCCGGGAGCCATGGCGCTTCTAGGTGGAGGGTGGCGTGATCTGACTGACAGCGAGAGCTGTTTGCGGTGGGGCTGTGGTGGGAAGTCAGGGGGGCGTGAGGGCAGCACAGTACCATTCGGGTGGTTGCAAAGTACTTGGATCCTGGATATATTTCACACGTCCAGCCAAGGAGGACGTGCAGTAAAGGGAAAAGAGGATCTAGGATACTGCTGTAAACCTGTGGGGCTGAGAAGCGAGACGGTGGCGCTGCCACCCTGTCGTTCTCCAGACACTGGAGCTCGTCCCGGGACGCAGAGCGCTGCCTTGGGGATTCGCTTAAGCATGCGTATGTTCATTTGCTTCCCCTCTAGTTCTTCCTGCACGGGTCTGACCTGAACTCTCTCCACACAAACCTCCCAAGGAGCGTTCTCCCCGGGGAGTACGGGGGCACGGCTGGAGAGCTGGACACTGCCGCCTGGAACGCGCTGCTGCTGGCCTCGGAGGACGACTTTGTCAGAGAGTTCTGCCAGCCTGTCCCTGCCTGCGACAGCGTCGAGGGCCCGGCGCTGCTGCCCGAGGGGCTGGCTGCCGACGCGCAGTGCGACGACGCCGTGCGAGCTGGGAAGTCCCAGCTGTACGCCTGCTATTAGCCAGCACCCTGCGAGCGCCGCCGTCTTCCAGTCCTCTCCCTTTGCTCTGGAGACACACGAGGAGAACTGCAGGTGCCAAGGATTCGGTCGCACTCCTTGTACTTAGACAGTGTTGGAACAGCCCGCAGAGCTTTGACAGCCCATCACGGATGAAACTTCGCTTACTTGAGTTTCTCCGTGTAAGACGTGGGACGTGTTCCCAGTGATCTCCAGGTGTTTGGAATCTTGGTTTGCAACTCTTAAATCTGCAAGCCGTGTCTGGTTCCATGCCTCTCTGAAGCGAGACAGATCAGGGCCTGAGGCACTGTGAGCCCATTTTGCAGGAGAAAACCACCCACCTGGCCAGTGTGGTCAGGCCTGCACGATGGCCAGTTGGAAAGCTTTGGCTTTGGGACTTTGTGTCTTCCTCGTGGACCTCAACTGTTGCTCATCAGGAAATGAATTCCGAGGTCCAGGCCCCAGTTGCTGTCACTGGGTTTGGAAGGGACCTTCGCCTAATCATGCAAGCTGCAGGACGTAATCAGCACTTCGCCGTGAACTTGGGAAGCCAGAGACTGGCGCTCCTCTGGAGTTCATTGGCTGACCCTAGTAATAGACACCTGGATTTTCCCAAACCCATAAACGCTTACCCCGGTTCTCAAAAGACTGAGTCAGGGTCCTAGAAGTACATGTTTTTACTCCCCCCTAAAGCACTGGATTCCAAGTCTGTGTAGCTAGATTTCTGGCCCAGGAATCAGACCTGGGCCCCAGTGTGAATGTAACACACGGCCTTCTATGGGCTCAGCTTTCTTGTGGGTAGAACAAGGCCTGGATGAAAGGTACAGCCAGGGCTCTGGCTGCTGAGGTTCTGGGATTTGGTTTAGCTCCTGAATGTTCAGATTTTGCCTGGAAAGATGACTGTCCAGAGACAAGCGATTGGATCCTGTTTGCCTGTGGATTTCAGGAGGGATTGCCACCATTTGGCCCTGCCTTCAGGGAAAATAGTGTGTGTGTTCCCGGGACCCTGCTGCCTACTACCTTCATAGAGTGCTGGTTCAACTTTAAAAGGATGACTTTCGTGAGGCCGGTGGAGGCCGCCAGGATCTTGCATGGCCTTGTAAGCCTGGCTGCGGTGGGCACACAGTGCTTGAGATTTTAAGTTTTGGTCCCTGGAAGTGAACACAGGGGCAGGTTCTGGCTGGCTCATTTCCGGGGCGCCAGCTCTCCCAGACTCGCGGGAGTTTCTCTCCAGGGTGGAAGGACCCTGCATTTTGGCACTTTAGACCCTCGCTGTCAAGATGCTGGCCTCAGCCCCAGCATCAATTAGGTGGTCCATGAGATGGCTTTCGACCTGTTGCCCTTCCCATTCATTCCATGTGTCCGTGTAGCCAGCGCTACCCGTGTGTGTGTGTACATTCTCTGTGCATCTGTTAGACCAAACGCCGGAGGAGACAGCTGTGGAGAGCAGGGCTCTCAAGTTCAAAGGCCAGCCTGTTGTTAATGAAGCCGTTCATCTTTAGAGCACTTTTACAAAGGTCTGGAGAAGCTGCTGGTGGGAATTAGTTTATTTACCTCATTAATGCCAATTCTAGGGAAAGTTCTTTTCACAGCCACAGATACTAACCCTGGATCCTCTAGGATCTGGGTAGAGCTGCAAATGCCAAAACACACACCTCTGGTTGCCTGTATTTCCCCCCCAACGGGGATGTGACCTGCATGGCTGTAAGGCCCAAGGACGGCAAGGATGGCTGAAGCCAAGGGTCCGGAACCCAACGACCTGGGCCCAAGAAATGGTTAGAAGCTTTCTTAGGGCCCATAGAGGGAGGAGAGGAGAAACAAAAAAACCCCACAGAAACAGTGAGACGGAGAGAAGAATGACTCAGCTCCATCAGTTCCTGAGGTTTAAGTTCGACCCCACATTCCTGGCCAGTGGCCGGTGGCTCTTGGCCGTGTGACCTCGCATCGTGATGGCCACGCTTTGCAGAACGTCTCAGGCAGACAGCGCGCTGTCCGTTTCCCGGCGGAGAAGCTGTGTCTTGCGGCTTCTGCAGAGGAGTCTGCCAGGTTTGTCAGCCTCGCCGAGCTGCCTGCTTCGTTTTGCCTCCAAAGAGAGCCCTGAGCCGTGGCATCTCGGGAGGCTCGGACCAAGCTGCAAACCAGGACATCACTGGGTGCCCAAGGAGGCGGCCTCTGCGCGGCCTCACCGGGGCATTTGTGTGGTTGCCCCAGCAGGGCCGGGAGTGCACGGGATTCTTAGTAGTGGGGAGCAACCCAGGCAACGCTGAGAGCTCGGAAGTGTTTTCCTTCAGGGCAAAGCTCCAGCCGATTCACAAACCTGCAAATTAACTCTCCCCTAAATCCAGGGCAGTACAGCGCTGGGGACGGAGGGAGTGAGGAGACCGAGTTCAGCTCCACCTTGCTCTGTGCTCTGAATGAGTGACTTCACACTCTTGACGCATATACAATAAAGGGCTCTGCACCCTGGGCTCTGCGCCCCCTGTCCTGACACTTCATTGGCTTTACTGCTTCAGGGACACTGCTCCGTTTTTACAGGTGCCTTCCCTCACCCCCCAATTTGGGTTGTTACTTAGGCCATCTAGGTCTGGATGAACTGACACCTAAAGCTTTCAAATCGGTCCACAGGTTCAGGTATCTGGTTGTTTTCCTCCGCCTCTTCCCCCATGTCCCACAGAGCATTCTGGGAAGTTGTATTTCTTCCTAGAAACCACATCTGCTTCCATGGGGAGGGGAGGGGCTGGGCAGAATCTATGGAAGTGCCCACAAGTGCGACCCTGGCTCCACATCTGGAGCTTCTCGCTCTTGCGAAGATGGCTTTGATACCCCGCACCTTGCTTTCACAAGGGAGCACTTGTTCTAGGGTTATCAGTGCGCAGGTTACGAGACACTGTTCCCGGTCAGGGCGAGAAGAGGTATCGATTGAGCCTCTCCCCATTCTTCTGGGTGGGCGGCAGCTTTAAATGCCACCGAGCCTCACGTCCGTCATGGGCGTTAGTACGTGGTGACATCCGAGACCCATCTGAAAGTTTTCAGCTGTGAAAGCTGCTTTTATTGAGGGGCGCAAGGTCGGCAGAGCTCACGGTGTGCACGTGGCCTTCCTGGGCCCAGGGGAGGGTGGAGATCGCCCACAGAAGCGTGCTGGCTGCTGGGGAAAGAACAGCTGAGAAAGCCTCTCGGAACGGGGATCTGTTCGTGTTGCAAATCTAAAGGAGGGTCCTTTCGGCTCTCTGGCCTCTGAGAAGCTGCTGGAAGGGCAGGAGATGAACGTGAGCTGGGCAGAGGTCCTCCTAACGGGAGCTGGCTTCGTGGGACGGCACAGCCCCGACTCTGGCAGTGTCGGCGGCCGGTGTGCATTCTCGCAAATGCGCCTGGGCTTCCTGGCATAGCAGGTAGGAACCTGTCCCAAGTGAGATACTTGACCTTCCTCGGTGGCCAGGAACCTCTGAGGGCACTCTCTGACGGGGTGGGAGCCGGGCGAATCCCCTGGCCAGCTGGGGGCACCATTTTCCGCCTCTGGCCTCATTCCTTGCTTCAAACTGAAATTCAGTTTGGTTCTGAGCTTAGGGACGTGTGTGGACTCATCTACTTCAGTGTTTGTTTTGACCAAAGGTTTATTTTTCTAGTGCATTTTCTAAGTCAAAGTGGTGAAAATCTATGTCAATTTTAGTATGCATGACTGGGTCTCAATAAAAACTGCTGTTAAGGTTGAATGTGTGTGGAGTTCTTTGTGACAAGGACAGTGTGTATAGAAGTTCCAAGGTGCATTCCTCCCGGGCCTGGGCAGAGCCTTCCTCCCGGCGAGCCGGGAGGGCCACGGTGGCAGCGTGGCACGTGCCGTACGTGGCAGGCTGCTTCCCCAGGTTGTGTGCAGTAGACTAAGGGAGAATGGACCAGCTACACCCAGTGGTAGGGAAGGAAGAGGAGGGACTCTTTATTACAGAACGAAAAGGCACCAGAAACTGGCTTATGGTCTGGCTTCTTCGAAATTACACGGCAGTGGTCCTTCACCTCGGAAACCCAGAGGTACCTGAACAATTCTCCAGAGTCCAAGCTTGCTTCTAGAGCCACTGGGATGTGGCTTCGATCGACTCCGGTTGTCGCCGGCGTGCGGTTTCTCCACTGGTCCCATCTGTTTCGATAGCAGCACACACTGCCCCAGAGTAGGCCATAAAAGCTAGGTGCCCGTGGCAGGTCCGGCGTGTGGCAGTGAGTCCGGAGAGCCCCTCTGCCACTCACTGTTGCCTCTCAGTGACACAAGAGGTAGGTCCTGGACTTGTGGAACTCAGGCCTGGCCTGCCTGTGGTGTCAGGAAAAGCAGAGCTCACAGCAGTGCGCTTTCTCAGCGCCTACCTCCAGGAGGGCTGCTCGGGCACACCTGCCACGGACGGCAGCACGAGCGTCATGGAACTGCGTGCGAGCCGGGGAGGAGGAAGATCCTCGGGGCGTCACTTTTACGAGGATTTTTATTTTACCAGCAGTTCATGTTCTTACCTGACCTCGTGCCTCGTACGAGAATCCAGCGACAGTGAAATCCTAGCTAGTGCCTTCAGGTGACCAACATTCCTTTTGAGAGAGGGCTGTGTAGGGAGCCAGAGAACTCCCTTACATGCCCCTAAGCAGTCTGTCTTCCTTATGGACCGAGACACAACGAGGCCTGGGTTCGAGGCCTGGGTTCCTGTCTCTGCTTTGCCTCTTACTAAGCAATCATAGGCAAGTCATTTGCCTCTCAAAGCCTCAGTTTGAGCAATGAAGTTGGGAAAGATAAGATAATCACCACCTTCAGGGTGGAGGGGATGGCTGCTCACTGCCTATGACATGCAGTGGTTTATATGGTATCAACAAGGAGGGCTTCAAAAAGTTCATGGAAAATGTGTATCAGAAAAACCTAGGGCCCAGCATTCTGGTGTAGTGGGTTAGGCCACTGCTTGCAATACCAGCATCCCACATCGGAGCGCTGGTTCAAGTCTTGGCTGCTCTGCTTTCGATCCAGCTTCCTGTTAACGTGCTCATGAAAGCAGCAGATGGCCCAAGTGCTTGGGCCCCTGCCAACCACGTGGGAGACCTGGATGGAGTTCCTCATGTGGCCATTTGGGGAGTGAGCCAGCAGATGGAAGATTATAAAGATTTATTTATTTGTTTAAGAGGCAGAGTTACAGAGACAGAGAAGTCTTCCATCTGCTGGTTCACTCCCCAAACAGCCTCAACAGCTGGAGCTGGGCCAATCTGAAGCCAGGAGCCAGAAGCTTCTCTGGGTCTCCTACATAGGTACAGGTGCCCGAGCACTTGGGCCATCTTCCACTGCATTCCCAGGCCATCAGCAGGGAACTGAATTGGAAGTGGAACAGCACTCAAACTGGTGCCCATATGGAATGCCAGTGCCGCAGGCAGAGGCCTAACCTACTGTGCCACAGCGCTGGCCCCAGATCTGATTCTTCCTCTTTCTGCCTTTCAGATAAATATATAATTTTTAAAACCTATGGTTTAAAAAAAAATTTAAACCAAAATAAACATGTCCTCTAATTCCATTTTTATGAATTTTTGTCAGATTACTTGTTCTGGACGTGAGGACAAAGGCATCGTGTGGCTTGAGTTCTTCAGCAGTTATTAGGCCATCACTGATGAGCTGGCTGATTTGGCTGCCTAGGTGCCAGGACAAACAGGCCAGCAGGAATGCAGAAGAGAACAGGTGCCCAAGGAATGAGCACCTGGTATCTGCTGTCAGTTTGCAGAAAGCCAACGCATGACTCACACTGACGCCACTGAATAACCACTCTAGGCAGATGTGTAAAGAAAAACACAATCAAGGACTTGTAATGGAGCTAAAGCTGCCCTGCCTTACATCAGACCCAAGTTCTGGTTTGGCCCAGAATATCAAAAGCTGCACTGAGAACCTAGTCAGTGGCCATTCTTTGGGAGAGCCTGAGTATCAAGAGAAAGTTGTATTTCCTACCCAAGTACTACCTGGCAAGCCCAACCCAGAAAGTAACCTAACCCAGCAGGATCAGGCTTCCCAGCCTTCTCCCAGCTGTTACTAGGTTAAAGTGGCTGAAGAATTCCTAGAGCAAGCGAGCGACCTCTGCGCCAGGCCTCCAGCCACAGTCCCAGGAGATGCACAGGCCTGTCCATCGTGACAAAACACCAGGTGATTCAACGCAAGAGGTGACACCATGGCATTTGATGACTCACAAATTATGCCCTGCTTTGAAGTATGGTCCTGGGCTTGCTCACATGCTGGCATTATTTATGTTTATGCATAATTCAGCACTCGTGTGTATAATTCTCTTGAGTACAGCCAGGAAGACTTATGCTTAGGATATGACCAAGCACAGCACTGACACTGCTCCCCACCACCGACTGTTAAAGAGTATTATTTCAAATTAATATCCAGGTTGTCATGAGAAAAAGTAAAAATTTTATTGGACTTTGTTACACTTATTTTACAGGTTAGTATTGCTTCTGTTTGAATTACATAAGGCGGAAGGAGGGCACTGTAATGTTTTTGAGTCTCAGGACCTTTAAAGCGCTTAACCTGGTTCCTCCTCTTGTAGGCATCTCATTTCCAATGACAAGAGAAGAGTTAACCCTGTCTGCCCCTCCAATCTCTTGCAACCTTATCTTCCTACCTTGACATAAGCCACTGATTCCAACAACCCGTATCAAACCCCGCGTCCATACTACCTTTGCCCCACCCATAAAGCCTGTCCCCTTTATGTTCACCTGTTTAATTCTGTACAAATATCTAAAAAAAAAAAACCCGCCGGATTCTGGCTGAACATCTCTGACCTCTGCATATCATCTTGCCTCAGAGAGATGAGCAGCTACTGTCAGAGTGCTCAGAATGGATCGAGCACTTTGCCCAATAACCTTACTCTCTATGCAACCTTCCATACTAGGCACTGACCCTGGGGTGCGGAGAGGTAGCGTCACTTGCCCGAGGTCAGTAAAGCTTGGTGAGTGCTCAAAAATCAGCCAGCCAGTTTGACAGCAGAAAATGGCAAAGTCGGATGCAAACCCAGTCTGACGCCCAGGTTACTAACCGTTCTACAGGGACCACCTCCCTTCTAACACAGCCTGTTCTTGGTGTTTCCCACGTAAATAAGTGGAACTGCCATCCACTGCCTCCCCCGTACATAATTAACTGCCAGGGTTAAAATTCTAAGGACTAAGTGGCTCTCGGCTGTCAGTTTCTCTCCATCCCCATTTCTGCTTCTCTGTTTCAAATATCGGATCGACCTTGGTATTCTGTAAGTCCATTCTCTTGGTCAGCCAGTGACTGAAGACGCAGTCTGCTCCTGCAGGCTGCCTTCAGTGCAAGGTCCAGACTCTTCGGTGGGGCTCACAAAGGCCTTCGTGGCTCAGCCCCTGCGCACCTCTCCCAGTCTGGCTCCAGGGAACATCGTCCACCCTCTCTCTCCCATCTCTCTCTCGGGCTCCTCCCAACAGCCTTGGCTCCGACGCCGCTTTCTCCAGGGAGCCTGCGGTGCTATCCGCCACTCCCAGGAGCTCTCCTTGGAGTTCTCTGCAGTCCCTAGAGCACAGCTCCACACGGCCAGGCTCCAGCTGCCTGTCGGCTTGTTCTCACTCTGCTCTAGACTCAAGTCCAAGATGGAGGACCCGGGGTGTGCCACGTTTAAAGCTGCAGCCCAAACCTCAAAGCCTGGTGCAGAAGAGACACTCAGGAAATCTTTGGTGAAAAACAATATTTTGTTCCACCTCCTTGTATGCTGCCTCTCGTGAATACATTTTTTTGACAATGCCTTGTCTCTCACCTACCGAAGTGCCTCCCAGAAGGTATTCAGGACAATTTCTGAAACGAGTGCAAGACTTTGCCCCCCAGTCAGACTGGAAGTTCTAGAAGAAACAGGAGCACCCTGGCTAGAAGCTTGACAAACCTGACTGTCCGCATGACCAAGAATGGCTGCCAGCTCCTCACAGCTGCAAAGAAAGGGCCTTAAAAGCTTAATGTCTATTTTAATCAAACACCTTTATAGTGCAAATGTAATAGTCACATGCATTTCACGTTTAACATACTCATAACAAGATCATTACATAGAATTGCAGTGTTTTCCCAAGTGAATCTTCATTTTAATCAAATCTACAAAGCATTTATTGAAATTAAAATATCCAGCAAAGCTACAGACTTGAATCAAGCAGCATCAATGCTGTAGTATTAAAAAAGTAAATAAAAAACTCACAATGTAGAAGCAGTGGCCACATCAGCAACCGTGCTTTTGGGGAAAGACCCAGACCCGATCCTTCCCCCAGAGCTGTGACACTACACCTCTGCAGAGTGCAAGTACTGACCAGAGTGCTTGTCTCCCAGAAGCAAGGCCTCTCACAGAGGAAGACGTCATATCAACACGTTTTGTTGGTTTTTTGTTTGTTTGTTTCTTAAGGATACTGCAATAGAAATATATTAATGATGGCCTCAAATATCCAACATTTTTCTATCTTAAATCTTAAACCAAAGTTGTAGGAACCTATAGATCTTTATAAAGAGCTCTCTTCACAGCACAGCTGTAGTTCACTTTAAATCACAAAAACATTCCTTTTGTGCTATATCCTTATAAATCAACATCATATACATATAACGAACATTTCCAATCCCGCATCACGCATTAGTCAATCTTGCCTTGTGATAGAAACCCGGATTCAGTCAAACTTGCCAAGCGTTCACTAAATATTTTAGTTGAAGCAAACTTAAAAGGGC